GCACTGGCTGCAGGACTAGAGCTTGGCCCCAATAAGATTTAAGTTTTTCATCAACATTTATACAGTTTAATTACTTAAGCTGGATCCAAAGAGCATGTGTACACACACACAAACCTACACAAGTCTTGTGCATTACATTACTTAATACCAACTAAGTGACAAGCCAAGAACATAATATTCACGCTACAAACAACATACACAAAGGTGTAGTTATTTTGGCACATACGCAAGGCTGACAGTCAGTTAAGAGGACACATACCAGTGCAACATTACATTTGCTCTATCATGAAGGTAAAAGGTTTGCTCTTGGCCAGTACAAACGAGAATTCTTAGTCACAGATGACAGGCACATGCCCCCAGAATACATGCATCCCTGAAGGCAGGTTTATGTTTTGACTATCATACATGCAGGCACAAAGAATTAAAATTCATTTCATAACTATGAAAAGTCTTAAGGAAAAAACCTACCAATTACAACTTTAAAGTTTTGGTTTTGGAGGAATATACATGAGGATTTTCTCTACAGATGGTTACAGATGGCTGGGATACCTATCACTTGCAAGTCAAACCCGTAGTAGTCATTTGCCTTTTTGTTCTGCCTAATTCCAGCTACTATAAAAATATGAATTGAGCCAACAGAGGGGAAAAATAGGATGACTTCATGAACAAAGTGATGGTACTTTCTGAACAAAGCTTTGTATAATGCTAAAAAATTATCAGACTTTATAATTTAATTGTCAGAATTTTTAGTTTAGGTAAGGTCAGTAAAATACATACTTCAATTCAAAATATCTTTGAAAGACAATCTCTATGCTGATGAAAAATATAAGTTCTGACACTTAAGTAGTTTTCAAATCTCCCTTTCCCTTCCCTAAATGAAAGGAGGTAAGAAGTATTATAGTTTTAAAAAATAGGGGCTAAATTTTGGCTATAATCTAATATTCTACATTTCCCTTGGGATTCCAAATATTTGACTACAATTAATTACAACTGTTCATATAAGACCCATGAAACTATGTGTGTTTTTTAATGTCTGCTTCTCAGTAATGCTGTTGTGATAGCTTTGGTAACCACAAAGAGCAGGACAATAATTTTTGGTTTTGATATTTCCATACTAATGGTTGTAAAACTCCCAGCAAAACTCTCAACTAAAGCTCATGGAGTGACTAAACAGAGTAAGTAAGCAAGTCCTAATACAAAAATCCCTTTTGACTGCTACATATTTTACTTAAAAATGACGTTATTTTTAGAAAATTATTTGTAATGACTATTCATTTGCCTCAGTAAGGATTTTAGTTTCTTGCCCTCAGTCTTGTCAGGTTTTGATGGTCAGGTTAAGCTTCAGTAGAAACACAGATAAGGACTGTGTACTGCCACAGTATTTAAATGAAATTTGAGTCTGTTCTTTAAGGCAGTTATTTCTAAAAGCTATCTGACTTTCTGATCACGTTTCTTTTGGTAGCATCTGCTGTAGTAATGAAAGCAAAGATAACTAGGAACAACAGGGTTTTATAGAAGATGTCACATAAGACAGTGCTATGTAGTGGAAGATGCTGAAAATTTAGACGGAATCAATTAAGATGCTCCCCAAAAAAGAGAGGACAGTAAACCTTATTAGGTTCCCATGTCCTTACTTCAGACATGACATTTAGTTACAGTCTGCAGCATGGTGCATTGGAAGAGAATATGCTCAACAACACTCTAAGGGCTGAAAATGGGGCACGTTCTCAGCTATCCCTTCCTGTCATCTTTGAGGTATAAGCTGTACTTACTGTCCTGAGAGTTGAGGGAATAGCAGATGAGTAAGAAAATGTACTTTGCCTCATTCCCAAGCAGGCCTGGAATTTAAGAGCAAATAATCAAGCAAGTATTCAGGCTTTTAATTTCCTGCCAATATTAGTGGAATAGTAAGAGCTTAAGTAGGTAGTGAACCCCTAACACACAGCTGCATAAGATGCTATTATTCATAGCCATTATCTTTCACACCAAGCATAGTAAAAGAGAAAAACCTTTACTAAGTACTATCATCCCAGCAACAACTTTTTAACTGTCACATCAGAATGACTTCATGTATCATTTTGAGGTTTAAAACTATCAGACTGTAGAAACAAAGAAGAAAAAAGAAGTGTGTTCTTCAAAATAAAATACTGCTATCTGAACCATCTTCTCAAGTTCTGATCCCAAGCTTACTATGCCATTGAAACAATTACAAATTTTGCATCAGGTACCAGTAAAGTGCTTTGGTTCATGGCAGGGATTTTATACTGCACAAGCAATGCCAAGTAAACTCTGGCAGAACCTCTGATCGTTCCATCAGCCTCTTATAATTCAATTTCTAGACAGTGTTAGCTTGGATCTGTCCACACTTGCACTCCCTTGCATGCCTTCTTATGAGTGTGCTGATCTCTCTCTCACTTTGAATCAAGAGCTTAAAACCTAATAATATATTAAAATCTTCCTAACCAATCACTCCTCCTGTACAGAAACATTCTGGCATTACAGAATCTGTATTTGGGCGCCTGAGAAAGCCTGTCTTTTGTGTACCTAAAAGCAAAGTGTCACCCAATGTAACGACAATAGCTAGCAACAAACAACCAGATCAACAGTGTGCTCTTGGACTCTGCAGTAGGCTGGACTTCACCCTTTAGTGAGGCTGGGTCCAGAACTTTTCAGTTAGCAGTGAGTTATTAGTCAAGTCTTGAAGTCAAAAGGAAAAACAGGGACTGATTTTGCATGTAACTCAGCAGAAGGATTCATCAAGGGCTGTAGGCTCAGCCTTTTTATTCATTAAAATAAATCAGGACTACACTGGAGCCATCTTCAGGTGCACAGGCACCAGTGACAAAGAAGGCTCTTTACATTTGGACAGTTTACTACCATGCCAGAATAACTTAGCCACTGTTGGTATCAAGTATCCTGTTTTCTGCTTTGGAGTATGACAGGTCCCCAGTGCAACACAGCAGAGGATAACTTTTCACTCTTCAAGAACACTGGGTAATTCTTGGAAAGGGTTCACAAAGCTGAACACTTTGCATCCTGAGCATCTTTACATACACCTAAACTCTTCACAGGTAACCAAAGCCATCCATGGGAAAAGCAATTTAAATCTTTACAGGAGCATGTGCTGTGTTTTGGCCAATTTCCCTCCCGCTTAAAAACAAACATCAAAATGAATTATAAACAAACAAAAGGATGTCCAAGTCCACAAGGAAGCCCTTGCCTTTTGTTTGCTATTGTTGTTTTTGTTTTAGGCTGATGTATGGGCTCGAAGGGCCACTGAAGACAAAGTTACAGGACAGGCTACCACACAATGTCAGCAGAACAGAACATGAACAGTTTAACGGCTGAAAATCAGTGATCCCTTTCCATACATTGGCCAAATACAGACTGTTCACCTGCATGGCACATGACAGCTCAACCACATTTATGTACTCTCAGTGGGATGCTGGTATGGGTGGAGGGAGAGCAATACATCTATTAACCTTTATTAAGAGTTTAGCATGAAAATCAGGACACAAGCTCTTTTTGAAAGAAAGCAAGGCAGAACTGCAAAGAGCTGGTTTGGAATACTGAACATCCTAGCTTTCATAACTTTAGTGAAACAGAGTAATACATCAAGGTACTTGTTCAGCTCTTGCAGAAAATTGGAACGGCCTTTTCTCTCCTTTTCAACCAATATTAAAAAGAAATTATTTTTATTCCAATTAATTTCTTTCGGCATTCTGGACCCCAGTTAGGTCACACTCAGCTGCCTGTACCTTAAACCTGTGGGACTGGTTCTCCTGGTAACATTGGAAAGCCATCCCCAGCAATACTATTATTCCCAAGTCTGGTAGCAAAAGTGGACAGAGAATCAAATCCCTTGGATTCAAATGAATCTACCATAAAATGTATCCCAGTTATAATGATTTGCTGGGTTTTTTTTTGGCAGGAAAATTGCACCTAATTACATAGATATTAATTGTAAATGTCCTTACTCCAAGGGGCCATAAGCTTTCCTTACATATGTTAGAGCTTAAAGGGATTATGTGTCAACATATGTGCAAAACAATGTTCATTTAACAGGAATCTGATTGGCAGTGTTAAGTCATAAACAATACTTTAAAGCATTATTAGCTTAATGCCCCCTTCACTTGCAATGTGAGGCAGTGCAAACTTGAAAACAGACTGTGAAAATCCTTAACTATACTTTCTCAGTAATGTCTTGTTCCTCACCTCTCTGGTTAGTACAATAGCTCCATCCAAATTCCAGCCAGTCAGAACCATGCTACAGTACACACAAGAACAAGCACAAAGTATAGACAGGAGGAAAGTAAGAGCAGGTATTTTCCAACTCTTTCTGTTGACACAAAATACTTTAGAGCCTATATTGTCCTAGAAATAGCTTTTTTTTTTTTTTTCAGTTTTCCAATGAGTGATATATGACAATCACAGGTTAGAACCTAGTATAGTACTACCACTTACTTCCCAATAGTTTATTGTTGAATGTTTTAAGAAAAGTGCTAGATCCCATATAAGACATTTTAAGAAACCCTAAAACAATAGTCAAATTAAACTGCATAAGTAATGGGATATTCTTCAGAAAGACTGCTACAAAAGATCCTCTTTTCAAGAGATTCTCTTTGACATCATCAGGGCAACTGAACACCGAGGAATGTTTGAGATATTTTGCTTGAATTGACAAAGTGTGGTATAACTTCTCTTGACTTTGGCTTTGTTGTTTGTTGGTTTGGGTTTTTTTTCCTAAAGCTCAACAAAATAATGTATTTTTTATACCTACATATTTATTTATTTTTGCCAATATATGCATGAGGAATGTAATGAAGTGGCATTGTGCTGCAAGTAGCTCAGCAGATGTTGAAATCAGTTCCAGTTCCTGAAGACAACTTCTTGACAACATAGTCTCAACATTCACAATAACTGAAACATGTGGGATTCATAACATCATCCTTATAAATATATACTCTATCCCGCTCTGTGTTGTAAACCCTCAGCCTTACTTGTTTCCTTGTACTTTATGATCGTATGTGCCTGCATGCTTATAACCAGATACATATCCTGAGTTATCCACCAGATCTTCTCGGCCAGCTCTGCCTTTTCCTTTCCCACTGGCATCAAACCTCTCTTTGTGAGAACCCGTGAATTTTGAAGTATCTGTAAGGCGTGAAACAGTTGGAGATGCAACAGTTTTCTATTGGGGAAAAAAAAAAGAAACAAAACAAAAAAGACGTATCAGAAATCAGCTATTCTTAATACAGATATTTTTACATGCTACCAATATTTAAATCTTTGCTAATGACAAAGACTATGCAAATACCTACTTCTTCCCAGAAATAGGATACAAAAGATGTTTGTTTCTTGCCTTTACATACAATGACAATAATAATATAGCAGAAAAGGAAATAGCACAAATTATGTCAAAACCTTTTGGAAGATACTTTCAGTATGAGATACTTTTAATTAATAATCAAGTTCTAAGCACCAATGATATGAAGAAGTTTCATCTTGATTTCACATTTTGAACCGTGTTCAAAATCCATTACGTCAACATGAAAGTATAAAAGCCTGGCTCCACCAATATAGAAAAAGTATTCCAATACAACTAGAATACGTTGCTTCAAAAGACAATTTAATTCTAAATTCTAGTATTCATGAGATAAGTAACAAACTGGAAGAACTGAAAGTAATGTCTAATATTAGGAAATTAGCAGTCTGTGAAATGGCACTGAACAAAGACGTTTCTTCCAGTGAGTCATATCAGGCTCTTCAAAAATCAGTTTTGTTGTCATTGAGACAAAAAAAATTTGACTACAGAAACAAAAAAAAAAATTATTTCACATAACAATATAGAACCATGATAATCTCTGTGCTTGAACTAGGAGCAGCCTCTTTGATCCTTCAATGTATATTTTAATTTTATTTATTTATATTAATTAATTAAATTATATTTTAATTTTATTTATTTATTTAGAGTCAGGTGAAGGAAAAACACACTAGACTTTTGAGCTAAAATGAACAAAGAATGCTAAAATCTGGGCATTTTTTTATGTGCACCACCTGTCACTATCTGAAAGAAAAAGACCACTGGAGCATTCTTTGCTCAAAACAGCATTACTAAATGACCTTTAGGGGCTTCTGCCTTGTAGTCTTAAGAGTACTATTCACAGAGGTGGAATAGTTTCTATACTGAAAAAATAGGCATCAAGACAATGCTTAGGAAGAAGTATTGGTCTAATACATACAGTTTACTTGCTCACATGGACCTGGTAGCACCATTTAACCAGGAAAACTCCAAATACAAGACAAGGGCAATATATTCAAGATGGAGTTAATTAAATCATATTTGCTTTCCTTGTATTTAAAAACCATTACTTGATAGAAAATCACTTGTGTCTACACTTGCATATACTCTCTACCATCACATCCACAGAGAAATCTCAGAAACTCTAGTTGACTGCCCTTTCCTTTACCTAGTTCATTCTCAGGACAGACTGCTGTTCTGAGAATTTGTAATGGTAAACTTAATCACTATTTGAAAAAGAAAGACTACAGCTTCTGCTCCTCTGTTTCAAAGGTGTGGCATGAAATGTATGAAGTTTTCCTCAGTACACAAACTACAACAAAAACATAATAGAATTTTTGTACAGCAATGTATTTAGTAACATACTAAATACTAGTAACATAAATAAAACTTGTGTGAATGGATAGAAATGCACACATATTAACAGGTAAGAAGAAACAGTAAAACAAGGACTAATAGAATGGGTCATGTCAACAATAAAGGATGTTCCCAGAAAACTATTCCCAGTTGTAAACTTGAGAAATGTGGTGTTTATATCAAGACACCTGCATTCTGGTAAGACCTCAACACACATGACTTATAAGGTGCATCTTTACAAGACAGCAGCGTGCCACACAAGCCCTTCCTTTTCCTATAAATATGTAGACATGTTTCTAACCAACAAAGAAAATGGAGGATGGGCAACAGCTTGGCAGGTTAAAAAATATTATATTTTTGTCCCAAAAAACAATTAAGCAAAACCTAAAACCACATGGAACACACGGAGCAACGGAACAGCACAAATCCCAGGCAAGAGCAACAGTGATCCCACATCAGGTGGTCTTTCATCTCAAGATGGATCAGAATGCTTCCTGCATCACAGGAGTCATAATATGTGAAATGAACATTAAAGGCAGTAGCTGCAAGGCAAACATTTTTTTCTCTAGATTTTTTTTTTACTGAGTAAGAACTGCAGCCTTTTCCTAAGTTGTATGTCAAGTCACTGATGTGCCCCTTCCCACATATGACAGATTATTACAATTGAAATCCTGTTGATTTGCTCTTGGCAAAATTCCTACAAAATGGGAGGCTCACCTTGTTTCCAACAATACAAAATCCAAGCAATGTTAATTCCTTGCACATTATGCTCTCACTCCCTGAACTGATGTATCTATATAAAAGATCAGAGATGAGATGCCACTACAAGGATATGCAGAACGCCTTATTTCTCCTTTTCCTTCTTTGTTATGATGAACATGTATACATTAAAAAGAAAATATTCCTTTTTTTTTTAAGGTGGGGTGAACATTTTTAAGATTGTGCTAAGATGCTTTCATTCAAAAAAGTATTTGTAAATACAGAATAGAATATATAACAACTTCATACCCATCCTGGGCTCCTCAACCACACGCAGCTAGTGGTATTTATATCACAGAATCATAGAAAAGTCCTGTTACTGAGCACTACTGAAAAAAAGCCTTGCTTCATCATCACTGCACCCTCCCTTCAGGTATTTATATACATGGATATAGGATTCACCCTTGAGCCTTCTCTTCTCCACATTACACAGTCCCAGCTCTCTCAGCCTTTCCTCACAGGATATATGCTCCAGTCCCTCCATCATCTTTATGGTCCTTTTCTGGACTCTCTCCAGTAGTTTATCAGTCTTCTCCAGGGAACCTAGAACTGAATGCAGGACTTCAGATGAGATTTCACCAGTGCTGAGCAGAGGGGAAGGAACATCCTGTCTGCCTGGCAATACTTCTAATGCAGCTGAGATACCAGTAACATTCCATACAGCAAGAACACCTCTCCGGTTCATGTTCAGCTTGGTGTCCGTGAGCACTCCCAGGTCCATTTCAACCAATCTCCTTTCCATCTGCATGGCCCCCTGAACGTACTGGTGAATGGGGCTCTTCCTCACCAGTTGCAGAACTTTGCACTGCTTGCTGAGCTTGCTGAAGTTCCTGTCAGCCCAGATCTCCAGCCTGTGAAGTCCCTCTGGATGGCCACCATCCCATCTGGATGACCTATCAGGCACTCCTCCCAGCTCTGTGTCATCAGTAAACTCACTGGAAGTATACCACACCCAATCATTAAGATGGTTAATGAAGATGTTAAACAGGACTCGACTCAGTATGGACCCCTGGGGTACACCACTGTTTTGCAACCTCCAACTAGACTTTGTACTGTTCATCAACACCCTCAGGGCCCAACCATTCAGCCTGTTTTCAATCCACATCCAGCTACTACAGCATCAGCTTGAGGGGCTGTGAGACTCTTGTAAGAGACCACATCAAAGGCCTTACTGAAGCATGGGGTAGACACTGTACTACTCTCTTCTTCCCTTGTCTACTTGGGTAGTCATTTAATTGTAGAAGTTTACAGGTCAGTCAAGTACAACTCTCCCTTGGTGATCAACCATGCTGATTACTTCTGATGACTTTCTCTTCTTCATGTGTTTGGATATGATTTCTAGGACTAGCTGTACCATTACTTTCAGTGTCTTAACCTGAAAAGTTTATAATAAAGATTCTTCTGTGAGCTGATGACTTATTTTTAGTGAATAGCCTTTATAAACTGAATGTGCAACCAACTGTTCTTATCAAAATGTTTTTTTTTGTTTCTGAACATAACCAACTATGCAGATTAAACTGGCTATTGAGCAAAAGGCAAAACCAATAGAAAGGGTGGCTGTGAGCTCATTCTCTACAACCCATCTGCTCATTATTGCACAAGGGTATGGCGAGGCAAATAAAAAAAGTGGGGGGTGGGGGGAGAAAGCTGACCATCCTTCTTAAGTGAAGAAAAATGTAGGAAGAAATGTAGTGAAGAGCACAAAGGGCTGGATGAGAAGAGTTTCCACAATAGCAAGTTAGTCTCTCCCTTCTTTTTCACAGTGAATCACATAAAAATGATTCTGCCATGTCATACAGCAATTCTGCTTGCACTGTTTACTATCTAGAGTAAGTTATATAATATCTCTAGTTACATTATTCTAAAGGCAATAAATTCCTTGGGGCCAACCTCCTCATTTTTTTTTCTCTGAGACCACAGAAGCCTTCATTTTCCATCTCTTATTTGCACATACAGTTAACCACAAAGTTTGCATATCACAGAAGGTGCCCATGAACTTCAATTTTTTTTTTATTTAAAAAAAACTTTGTCTTAGGAAGAAAGTTTTACTAAGCACAACAGAATGAAACATAATAATTTAGTGTTCCAAATTGAGTTTATTCATTTTTTTGGCATTTTTTCTTCAAAATTCAGTATTTTTCCTCACTTTGTGTTAGTGTCTACAAAGAAGTGCTGCTAAGATAGCAAGGGGCTTGGAGCATGTGACATACATGGAAAAGATGATGGGAATGTGTTTATAAAGACTCAGAATTGAAAAGGGAGAAACAAATCTTATTCCTGTCCTCAAGAGAGTGGTTATATTAGAAACAGAGACAGTTTAGAAGTAAACAATAATGGGCATGATTTGGAAGATACGAAATTCCAACTAGACACGTGAGAATTTTTCACCACTGTGGTTGGTCAAGCCTGGAAAGAGTGGGGGATTCTCTGTCCCTGAGGATTATCAAAACTTAAAATGACTAAGTTACAGAACAAATTAGGTTGGAAAGAACCTTTGAATATGAGTCTTCATCTAGCATAAGGCCCTGCTCACAGCAAGGCTCAAAGCGGCTTATACAGAAACTTCTCCAGTTAAGTCCTGAACACCTCAGAAGTCCCAGAGACTCCATGGGCAACTTATTCCAGGGTCTGACTACACTGCAGGTAAGCAAAAAAGCCAAAACAGTCCTACATCTCATCTAAATTCCCTATTACCAATAGTCCAACTTCTGTCTGAAGCAGCCCTCTTACCAGACAGGAAGTGAAAGCTGTTGTCTTTAAACTCTAGAAACCTT